TTCTTTTCTTCCCTCCCCTTCTCATTTTACTTTATTTTCATGTCTTTTACACATTTACTGAATGTTAAAATCTTAGCTTGGAACATTGGTGGCGCGGGTAATTCGGGCTCTGCCAGGGCTCTCAAGTTCATTGTTAAGAACTGCAACCCTGACTTTCTTTGTATTTTGGAACCTCAGGTCAGCGGGGACTCGGCCAACAAAATCTGTGAGCGGCTAGGCTACCCGAACGTCATGCGGGTGGAAGCGGATGGGAGGAAAGGAGGCATGTGGCTCTGTTGGAATGCTGCCAATTTCCAACTTCAAGTTCTTTCGGCTTGCTCCCAGCACCTGTCGGTCATTGTCTCGTCTGGGGCCTCTCCAAAATGGTTGTTTACAGCTGTCTATGCGAGCCCTCGCCAGTACCAGCAACACAGTTTGTGGCAGACTCTATACCGCACAAGCCTCTCCAATGACTTGCCGTGGCTGCTCTCTAGTGATTTCAACGCTATCTTAGCCCCGGAAGAAAAATCTGGCCCTTCCTCCTTGTCCACGCTGTACAAGTGCAAAGTGTTCAGCAACAGGATCAACCAAGCGGAACTGATCGACCTGGGTTTTTCAGGGCCTCGGTTCACTTGGACTAGAGGGGAGACGCCCAGCACCTTCAAAGCTAGTCGGATCGACTGAAGCCTATGCAACTCCCTTTGGAACGCGACCTTCCCGGACACCACTGTCACCCACCTTCCCCGCATTCACTCAGATCACCATCCCATCCTTACCACAATTGGAAATCAGGGAGTTAGCCCCTCAATCTCCCGTCCTTTTCATTTTGAAGCGGCGTGGCTAACTAGTGATTCTTTTGACAATCTGGTTGCAGGTGAGTGGGATCACCAAGCGCCTCTTCTTGTGGCCTTGGAGAAACTGGCTTCCAACCTCAACCAGTGGAACAAATCTTCCTTCGGCAACATCTTCTATAATAAACGGCGCTTGATGGCTCGCATTCAAGGAATCCAAGAGAGGGTCGCCATTTCTTTCTCCCCGGGACTCTATAAGCTGCAGATCAAACTCGAGAAGGAGATGGACCAGGTGCTAGAACAAGAGGAGCTTTACTGGTTTCAGCGATTGAGGGAAAACTAGGTGCAACGGGGGGAGCGTAACACTAGCTACTTCCATAACCAGGCAATCATCCGCAGGCGTAGAAACAAGATCGACAGTCTCAAGGGGGCCGATGGGGCGTGGATCACTGACCCTCAGGAGTTGGCAATGCTGGTTTTTGACTTTTTTGATGCCGTGTACCTGCAGGAGAATGATAATTACCAGGACCTTATGCCAAAGATGGCTTTTCCCCGCCTTGATCAGGAGGAGATGGTGGCTCTTCTGAGACCTTTCCGAGATGAAGACATACATCGTGCAATTCATGAGATGAAGCCGTTTCAAGCCCCTGGCCCTGAAGGTTTCCACGCTGCTTTCTACCAACGGGCATGGAGGGTGGTGGGAAAATCCTTGATTAACTTAGCTTTGGATTTCTTTCATGCAGGGGGGCTACCGGAACACATAATCGACTCAACGATTATCCTCATTCCAAAAGTAGAGCACCCTGAGATGGCCTCTCAACTCAGACCCATCTCCCTCACCAATGTCTGCTTGAAAGCTATCACAAAGGCGATTACCAACCGGCTGAAACCCATAATGAGGAAGCTGGTGTCCCCCCGTCAGAGTAGTTTCATTCCTGGGCGGCAGACTACAGATAACATCATTGTTCTCCAGGAGGTCCTCCATACTCTGAAAAAGAAGAAAGGGAAGAAGGGAGGAATGGTTTTGAAGATTGACCTGGAGAAAGCCTACGACCGTCTTCGGTGGGACTTTCTTCGCGACACCCTCAAAGAGATTTGCCTCCCTAGCTCGTGGATCAGCTGCATTATGTACTGTGTGGAAAACAGTAAGATGCGGCTGCTCTGGAATGGCGACCTCTCTCAACCCATTATTCCTACCAAAGGAGTTCGTCAGGGAGATCCCTTATCCCCTTATCTCTTTGTGCTCTGTATGGAACGATTATCTCACAGGATCGACCAGGCTATTCGGGAGAACCTTTGGAAGCCTCTTAAGCTGTCCAAAGATGGCTCGTCCATTTCTCACCTCTTTTTTGCAGATGACCTGGTTTTGTTTGCAGAAGCAGGGGGAACCCAAGTGAGGATAATTAAGCAATGCCTGGATGAGTTCTGCAGCAGCTCGGGACAGTGGGTGAACTATCATAAATCTGCTATCTTTGTGTCGGCTAACATTCACAGAAGGCGTGCTAGGGCCCTAAGTGAACGCGTGGGGATCCCACTGACGGTGGACCTAGGCAGATATTTGGGAGTCATGGCCATCCATGGCAGAGTGACACGAGGCAGATACCAAGACCTCGCCCTCATAATTCAGAAGAAACTCGCTCCTTGGAAAGCTAGGCATCTTTCCCTTGCTTCTCGCATTACTCTTGTTAAGTCAATTGCTGCGTCTATTCCCGTTTATCCTATGCAGGTGGAGCTCATGCCAAAGACGGTATGCAAGGACCTGGATAGAATAAATCACAGCTTCATTTGGGGCGACTCAGAAGAGAAAAGGAAGTTACATTTGGTGGGCTGGCAAATTCTGACCCTGCCGAAGGACCAAGGAGGACTGGGTATCCGGCCCTCAAGATCGTACAATCTGGCAATGTTAGCCAAATGTGGATGGCGGCTGATGAAGGAGAAAGAGACTCTTTGGGCTCAATTGATGCATGGCAAGTATGGGAAGAACAGGGAGAACCTCGACATCATCAAACCCATAAAGGGAAGTTCCTTCACCTGGAATAGCATCTCTAAAACCAGAGAATTGCTGAAAGATGGCTCTGCCTGGAATATTCATAGAGGCAACCTAACCCGATTTTGGTTTGATGTTTGGATTTCACAGGTTCCTTTTATCGAGTTGACCACTGGCCCAGTTCCGGAGGATATAAAGGACGGCATGGTGGCAGACTTCGTGGATGAGGATGGGACCTGGCTTACTGAGAAGTTCGAGGGATTTCTTCCGGACGCTGTGACTCATCAAATCACAGCCAAAGCAGTGGACCCTCTGGCAGGGGGGGATGATGTGTTGTTCTAGCAGCCCACCTCAGACGGCCGCTTCTCAACTAAGAGTGCTTTTCAGCTCATACAGCCTAGAGCCCCTAGCGAGACAGCTCAGATGTGGAAAGACATATGGAAGCTACCAGTACCGGAGAGAGTGCGTTGTTTCATGTGGGTTGTAGCACACGACAAAATCAGCAGTAATGTGCAACTTGTGAAGAGAAAGATCGCCTCCTCACCCTGCTGCTACAGATGCGCTTCACAAGAAGAGACCACTCTCCATATACTCAGGGACTGCCCTACAGCATTCTTCCTCTGGGCTCGCACGGTACCTTCTGAGAATCAGCAGGAGTTCTTCAGCCTGCAGCTTAAAGCTTGGATTGCAAAAAATTTGCAGGTAGAGTCCAGATGGAATAGCGAGACCCCCTGGAATGCTTTCTTCAGTATAGCCATTTGGAATCTTTGGAAGAATAGAAATGAAGAGGTGTTCAAGGGCATCGAGAAGACCCTCTCCCCGCCTTCTTTGACCCAAGCCACCAAGATCAAAGCTATGCTGTGGCACAAAGCTTGGGTGGCTCCTCAGAGCATTCTTGGCCGGCGATTTACTGCTGTCCAGCGAGTGTCCCGGGAAATCAGTTGGATTCCTCCTCCTGCAGGCTGGGTCAAGGTTAATGTTGATGGAGCTGCGAACGGAACCCAGGGGCCTGCAGGCGCGGGAGGAGTCTTGCGGAATCACCATGGGACTTGGATCAAAGGTTTTGTTGCTAAACTGGGAACTTGTTCGGCCATTCAAGCGGAGCTTTGGGGAATCTACCATGGGTTGGATATGGCGTGGGACGAGGGCAGCTGGGTTGTCATCTTGGAATCCGACTCTCATATGGCTATACAACTCATAGAGAAGCGAACCGACCCGGTGCACCCGCACGCGACACTGTTGACAGCGATTAGGCGCAAGGTTGGTCGTGATTGGGTGGTGAGGATAGTTCATACTTACCGTGAAGGGAATAGAGCCGCGGACTGGCTCTCGGAGCACAGTCTCGTCTATCCCTATGGTAAGAATGAGCTTGACTTACCACCGCAGGGGCTACAGCACATTTTGGGCGACGATGCTCGAGGGCAATCCTTCCCCAAAGAAGTTGTGGATCCCACTGAAACCTCTCCTGTCCTGTAATCTTCCCCCCTTGCCCCTCTCTTTTGTCTCTGCTTCTGTGGCTTTTTAGCCTCCCTTGATGCAAAAAAAATCTTGTTAACATCATAATAGCTAATCATATCACCTTTAATTCCATTCAAAATTTAAAATTCTGCCCAAAAAGAACGAGTACATCATTGATCTATTATTTATGATCTATAAAATTCAAGGAATATTTTAGAACCAAATATATCACCTCATTGAAGGTTTTCAACCCGCAGGTTGACCCGCGGGTCGACCCACTTTGACCCTGACCCGATGAGAAAAACGGGCTGCACGCACCCGTCGGGCCGACCGCTACAAGATACCGGGTTGGAGGTCAAATTATGTCATTTTTTTTCTTTGGGTTGCGAAATGCGCCTATTTTCCGATTTTTCTATTCGCCTAGCTCAATTTTTGGAATGCTAAGTTGAACATTTGAATATTTATGTTATATAAGTGTGTGTGAATTTTCACTATATGTTGGATCTATATACGATATGTTAATTTGGTGTAATATTATATGTTATAACTCATATATTAGATAAGATTTGATATAATTTACGAAGATAAGTAAAATATAATGACTTTTTCCATATTTCCGGGCCAAACCGGACTAAAACGGTTGACCGATTAACCCTTAACCCACTAATTCGACCAGATCCGGGTCAGGGTCAACCCGCGGTTGACAACCTTGCCTCATTCCAATGGTAACTGGTATAGACAATGAATCAATGATGAATAACAGTAAATAGCAATCAGTATAATTCTATTATTATGTGCGCAACTATTCTACGGTATAATATATACATATATTATAATGAATTATCCTATCAAACATTATCATCATTGTAAAACCAATGAGAATGGTTTGAACCTGGGGCCAACCATCCAGGGAAGAGAAGAGGAAAAAAAACTTATACCATCAACAAACAACAGCACTTCGATCAGGTAGACTGGTAGACCATATAAAGATCCATGGAATGAACAAACAAGTTATCTACACATAGCTCTAACTACATACATATAAAGGAACCAATATCTGCCCGGAAACAGGGGTGCTGAATCTAAGCAACGACAACTCCGGCCCTGAAATTGGAGACACCCTCAAGCAAGTGATTTGTGGCCTTCTCGAAATTAACGAACCCCATAAACCAGAATTCGTGACCGTCCATCGTGGAAACCTGGATGTACTTCTCCGGCGGATCCTCTCTCAATACCACAGGGTTCACCGAGCTTATCTTCTCCACCGGAATCACAACCTGTGTGCATCAAATTAATCACTCGTCAGAAATTTTGATTTCATCGCCGCGGTTAGGACTAATTAGCCCTGAAAGTAAGCAAAACCGGACCTTGTAGTAGCTCCATGCTTCCTGCCCCGATGGAGCTGTGAAGCAGAGAGGCCGATCGCTGCAGAAGGCGACCCGAGCAGTGGAGAGGTACAGAGTGCCGGCGACGGGACCGGTGGTGGTGGAAAGGTAACATGCGAATGTCTTCTTCAGCTTCTCTTCGGGATGGGTTTCAAATATGCGCTTGAACATCGACTCGAATCCTCCCTCTGTTATGGCCTTGGCCGTCAGGTTCATTTTCCCCCACGCTGCCTCTGTCACCGACGGCCCTGTATTCACTGTTTCCAGAAACACTAGTTAGAAGAAAAAAAAAACAATCTTTTTCATTATTTCATACTAATGTAATGATTCAAGATTAACTTACGATTGTGCCAAATGTTTTTGGCGATGGTCTCTGCTTTTGCGCTCCAGGTGTTGAACATGTGGATCACTGGCTCAAGAGGGTTGCTGCTGGCGGGCTTTTCTACAGGGGTGTAGATGAGATAAGGCTGCTCCGGGATTTGCTGGTGGTCGCCGGCGTTCCAAGATGCCGCCTTTTGATTGTCCGGGTGCACTGCTGGCGCCGCCGGCGGTCCCATGACGTGGGTTCCCCATTTCTTGGTGTCTACCACCTCCTGCCCTGTTGATTGTTGCAGCTGCTGGGTTTGTGCCTCTTCCCCTGTTCCTGCCATGGAAGGTTGCGATCGAATGGTAATTGGATCTGATTGATTGCAAAGGAAAGCTAATGACTTTTGCTATGAGTTCTGATCTTCTTCAAGCTCTGATTGTGTTTATATATTGCGATGAAAATTGGAATCCGGAACATAAGAGAATGGTCAGAAGGTGAGAATTGTTGCTGGGAAATCTGTATCCTTAGCCGCGTAGAGGGTTTTCCAGAAGGAACGATTTGTCGATCAGGAAAACGACACAAGGGTTTTTCTTTGTTAATTTTCCTTTTGATTTATTTAACGACAGACGGATAAGAAAGAAAAGCAACGAAATTGAAGATTTGGTGATACGTGTCCAAGGTATTTCATTGACGTGTCTTAAGACTGAAGGAAACAGAGAAATTTATCATTTGGTGTTCTTTTTTTCTTTGCGTTTCCATTGTGGCCTGGAGACCAAATTTCAACCGGAAACAGAGTTCTCGCTAAAGGGAAACGAAAGAGGGGAAGAAAAAATGAGCTACCAACATATTGCTCATGAATCTTACCAGCAGCAATCAGGCAAGCTTAACCCAACAATTTCCCCCTTTTCCCCCTTTGGGTTAATTGTGATGTTTGATTGATTGGATTTGAGATTTTTTGTGATCCCTGTCGCCAGGGCCGCCGCCGCCGTATCCGCAAAATGACCCCTTTCCCCGCACGCCGCCGCCGTCCGGGTATCCACAGAATTACCCCTCTCCCGGCCCGCCGCCGCCGCCCCGACGCGGGTATCAAAGCTACTTCGACGACAGCCGGCCGTCTATAGCGCCGCCGTTCCCTCACGCTGCCCCGGCGTGGCATGAAGACCACTACCGTCGTTACGACGACTTGGGTTGCTTCTCCTGTATCAATACATGGTAAACGATTGTGTTTATGCCTGTGATTAGAGGGGTTTTTTTAATAGTTTTGGGTCGTGAATGAGAATTGGCAATTAAGAATACATAATTGATGCGTTCGATTGGGGATTGCGGCTGCTGCAGCTTGACTATGCTCTGTTGCTGCTGCTTGTTGGAGCAGTGCTGCCGTTGATCCATCGGAGATGTGCGTGCTAGGAATTGCAGCAGCTTTATGGTCGCTCGCTCGCTTCTTTATTAGTTCTATGGTTCGGAGGACTTTGTGGCGTTTGGTGTTTGCTCATTTGTGTTTGTACTTGTCATCTTCATCAAATTGCAGTTATTTTGGTTTTTTAGGTTTGGGGGATATGTAATACGAAGCTTGATTCAGTTCAAGTTGAATAAGACTAAAAATTATATACAATTAATTTTGTTGAATATAACTGTATCTATTAAGATTGTTTTGGGTAAGGCGAGCAAAGAAACCTGCACAAGACCAGTAGATTGCCATTTGAACCCATCTTTTCGAATATTATGCGACTTGACTTGCAATAGTGTGGATATTACTCGATCCGCAGTGATAATATTCGCAGTAGCGTGAGGTGGGCCATCCTCAGTAATATGGTGCATGGGTATGTGTGGATATTACTCGATCCGCAGTGAGCCAGTGATAATATTCGCAGTAGCGTGGGGTGGGCCATCCTCAGTAATATGGTCATGAGTATCTACACCTCTTTCGTTCAGTCACATTTCTTTTTACAATATTTATTCAAAATTTTTCTTTTATTTTTGCTTTAACTAGGCAGACTTAATATTTCAACTATTTAGACTCAATTACTCATTTTATTATCATTATTTTCATTCATAAAGTGTTTCCCTCATTTTATCATAAATGAAAAATTTTGTGGGTGTTTTTTTCACATAAGTATCAGAATGGGCTGACCCGTCTTCTAGCGCGTGAATATGGATATTGAGAGGCGCGTACGGTGTGAACCCACCTGTTTGCCATCACTAAGGATCGGGGGAATGGATCTAATTAGAAATTTAGTTGATTATTGTTAATATATAACTTCTTCTTAATTTAATTTAAGGGTTATATCTCTTTCATTTTAAGTTGAATTTCAATTTTTTCACAAATAAATTAAATTAATTGTGTTCTTTCAAAATAATGCCACTCTGATATATTCTGGAACAAAAATTCATTGAGGCATATATTACATGTTTATTATATGGTGATAGTATTCGGTAGTACTTAAAATTATACTACGGTTATATAAAAATGTATCATAGTGATATGAATATATCGCAGTGTACAATTGACGTATATATATGATGATAGAAATATAATAATCATCATTTACTCTGTATTATCACTGTCCATCATTAGTTACCATCATATATCAAGATGATATATGAGGATCTCAAAGTTTTTTTTTCAAAAACTTGTACAACATGTTCTTTCTTCTATACAAAATTTTTCAATATTTGTATTAAGAATGTAGGTGATATAGAGTGGTATCAAATTCTCAAAACTATCAAAACATGGTAACCATTTGTAGATCTCAATGAACTCCTTCCAACTCTAATTTCTTTTTTTAATTTTGTGTAAATAAAATGTAAAATACAAACCAATAAAAAACAAACGCTAATTTCACCCTTTGATGATGTACTCAAAATCATAGGCAGAGCTAGACCATTCTTGTCCCGGGACAGGGGTAATTTTGGAAGAGGAAAAAGTATAAGGATGTTTTGTCACTATATCACAACTCATTACTTGTTAATTAATTGCTAAAAATTAGTCAATTGATTCCATTCATAAACTATTATTGGACAACAGCTTGTACATGATGAATTATCTCGAGCAATGGTGGATGTTTATAAGTCATATATCCGTAAGTTTATTTGCTTATGAAACTAGAAAGAGCATTTTTAGCTTCCGCTGTATTAAGAACAACTTCAAAATTGGATTGGCGATCAGTTTTGCTAATGATTATGTAATGGGATACACTGAAAGAGACTTGCTTAAAAGTGTACAACAACGAATGTATTTTGCATTTGTTTCGGAATACGAAAACTCATCGTGGTTGTTTATGCAAAATATAATTGTATTAGTTGATTGTTTCTTTATCTATGAATGAATTATTTGAATATTATTACTTTTATTTATTAAATTTTTATTAATTATATATTTATATTTTTAAAAGAGGACAAGTAATTTCTAATCATGCATTCGCCACTGCTCAAAATCCAGATATCATGGTGGATTCGTGATTTCTTTTGTTACTTGTGATTGCATGGAAGATACTTTGGTGAGTAATCCTTAATTTTCTTTTGGTTTTAGTGGGAAAATCTCAAATTTGATGGATGTGGCGCTATGGCTAGGAGTAGGGATGGGCATTCGGTCGGTTCAGTTTGACCGAACCGAAATTATGAATATCAAGTCTCCGAATAATGGTATGATTTGTTGGGTCCATGGGACGTGGACATGATATGACAATATGGAGTGTGTGTTTTGTCGACTGTACATGATATCATACACGAACTGCGGAAACAGGAATTTGGGTTTTCGGGTGCAATATATTGGGCTTGATCGAAGCCCATTATTCCCCAATGTGAAGGAGAGAAAGCAATCTATAATGCCTCATGTTGGGCCTTCAATTTCTAAATCCACTTTTTAGATGGGAGCCCGAGTGCTGGTTTAGTAGAATAGAGTTGTCCGTCACCGCAGTGATTTTTTTTATGGCCAATGCTATGGTGCCGCTGCATATAATTGGACCACATGGAGCTTACGTGGCATGAGCTGGCTTTGATTGACCCGAGCCCATATTCCATGAGTAATGGGTACTCGAACCAACCCGTCCCTCCCATTCAAACAGAAAATCCGTCTCCGTCAAATCCCAAACGATTCTATTTTTTTCCCGATTGTCGTTATATCTTTATTAATTAAATGTAATTAGTTTGTTTTCCAGAAGATTGAGAAAACTGAAAAACGGGGGGACGGCGACGGACGATCCGAAAGGATGTTCGTCGATCTCCTTCTCCGTCGTTCTCCCAAAATCGCGCTGGTGATTTGTTCGCGGCCGATCCCATCTCCATCTCCATCTCTGGCGTTCTCCCTAAATCGCGCCGGTGACTTGCTCGCGACCGATCCCAACTCCATCTCCGGCGTTCTTCCAAAATCGCGCCAGTGAATTGTCTGCGGCCGATCCCATCTGCAAAATTATCCGGTGAGTTGTTCATAGGCGAAGAAATTTGTATCTTCGCGGGCCTCTGTCACCATCGAAAAGCGCCGCCGCCAAATACCGGGTCCAATTCGCAGAAGGGGAGAAACACCCTCTTTCACCGGCGGTCGCTCCAAAATTACTACGTCACTTGTTCGTGCTCGATCCCATCTCTTTCTCTGTTTGTTCGTTTGTTTTTCTTGTGTTATAAAGGAATGGAAGTGGGCTAATTTCTCCTTTAGAGTGATTTCAAAATTGAACTTGGCGTAATCATCTATTTACAAAAATGAAATTAGATCCCTTGTGCTCGGATAGGAAGCATGCGGTAGTGAACTGGATAGAAGGGAGAGGGAAGTCAGTGGGGTGTATGTTGTGATCAACGGAGACGTGGTCAAGAGGTACTGAAAAGTAGCATAAAGTCAATGGTTGAGCTTCACAAACTCAAGAATCTGGCAGGTTCATAACTTGCAGGGACTCTTGGTGGGTTCTATTCGTGGTATGAATCTCGAATGAATAAGTTGTATGTAGGGAGTTTTAATTCAATGCATCCAGGTTGGTTATTGTGATAGTTTAGTTTAAGTTATTGTTCAGCGAGTATAATATCTCCAAAGTTCTTCTTTCTTCCTGCTTTTGGCACGTGAATTTTAAAGCCACGATGTTAAATATTTGGCTACATTGCTGACCCTTGAACCAGCTGTGTTATAAGTTTATAACTCTTTGTGTGCTGGAGGTTGCTAGAGTGCAGGTCTCGTGTGCTGGAGAGGCTACAAGATTGCTGAATGTAGAGGATTGACGGGTATGCCTCGGAGAGATTAGTTGTTTGGAGAAAGATCTAGCTTTTTATATTTTGTACTTTGGAGAAACCATATTTATCGTCATCCTTGCATATTCTGAAAATGGTTCCCTTTATTTCACCACTTTTTTGTTTGTAAATGGTGATGCTAACTTGGAACTTTTACTCATGAAGCTAGAAAGAAAGCTGGGTAACTTCAACCAAGTTGCTATTTTGAGAAAAGGGAGTAGCAGCTGCAACAACTACAACGGGAAGGAAACGGTAGCAGCAGGACAACATTAAAAGGCGGATGCTTGAATGTCAAACACGCATAGGAAAATGACGCTGTTGTATTTTAAGTAGTTTAGTTGCTAATTGACAGATGTCATGAATAGAGTGGTTGTTTATTGAATCAGTTATAGCTTATGCTAGTTAACATTCTGGGTTTTCCAATTGTGCAGTAGAAAATCCAGTTTAAGCCTTAGTATCTTCTCTCTGTGATGGCATTTAATATTGTGATGAATGACAAAGAGGATGAACTAGATTTTGAGCTCTCATTGTTTTAAAGTTACCAAGGAAGGCTTGCTGCGGGATGGGTGTCCTAAAGATTTCGTTCCCATGCTATTCAATGTCAGTGGGTACATGTACCAATTCATTTATGTGCAATTCAATGTCAACAGTAATAAGATCCTAGCTCAAATGACCAAATATGCATTCTCATTATAGATGCTATAGGAGTTTACATTCCAATGGAAGAATCTAACTCAGTTTATCAACCAACTACGCAAAACATCAATTTCATACAGCCTCCCAATGCTGCCACCAATCCCTCATTGCTTCCTGCACCTACTGTTTAACTTCCTCCTCTCTCTCCATCAGCAAACAAGCTTGATCATCTTGACCTGCAAAATTAGATTATGTGTTTTAGGCTTTATACTCAAAGAAGTTTCAATTAGGATCTCCAGCCACAGACATATAAGGAGATAAGAGTTTCACTGCTTTTCAACTGTCAACACCACTGCTGCAAAACATATCCAATTTCACAGCACTACTGCAGAACAGATCAGACATAACATTTTACACAACTTCAAATTTTGTACTGTGTAAGATAACAACATAGAGAATTAGAGATAAAGATAAAAAATGAACTATCATGAATCTTTCCTCTCAATAACTACGCACCATGGAGCAAATTATTCAAGGTACGATTTTATGTAAACGTAGTCTCCAAAGATAATAACTTAAAACGACAACCTCTTCTCTAGGCCAGATAAATACAAGATTCTGCCAATAGGTGAACAAAATCA